AAATGGAAAACTAGAACAAACTCTGTGGTGTTTTACTGGAATTAGAGATATTTCGTAGACATAAATTTTGATGGATAGAGGTGTGTGTGTGTGTGTGTGTGTGTGTGTGTGTGTGTGTGTGTTTACTGGTTCTTGTTCACTAAGAAGTCTTCATAGAATCTGCATTTCTGTGCTAAAAGGAAACAGGTTTTCTTGGGAAAAGATTAATTCCAGTGAAAGCACTATGTAACAGATCCATTGCAATTTAAACTAAATAAATAATGGTAAGAAATTACCTCTCAGCAAGTAATGAGAACAACTAATTATGCCTCTGAGAAGAACATGATCTGCTCTTTCCCAAAGAGCATCTCTGTACAGAATCACACATACTTCTTAGGATCTGTGAATCAAACATTTGCTTAATGCCACTATGACATCTACACTCAAGATTCTAGCACTTAGTTCTCATGGGTCCTGACAACATGAGCAGCCATCTCTCTGAAAATAAGCCACCTAGGCAAAAGTGATAGCATCTCAGCAAAGATGATTTCACAGAGAACAACACATAACAGTCTCTGAAGTCAATGGGGGAGGGGGACTTTTGTCCACTAAAGCATGGTGCCCCAGCCACTGGTCAAGATGACTTGAAGAACCTAAAGCAAGTTCCTAAGAACTCTAGCCTGATTCTCAAAATACATTTGTTTAATGAAGTTGCTTGGGTTTAAAAATTAAGGGTTTGCTGTTATTTTTACTTCCTCTGGCCCTAAGAGTAGTATAGCATCATTACTTTGTAGTATGAGGGCAGTGTTAAATCAGGGTGCTTGTGGAGGGAGGAAGCATGTCTTTAGGAAGGTATTTCTTTTTCCACCATGGATACTATATTTCTGAATGAATGCATAAAACCCAGTATTAATTCGAATTCGTATTTCATAGAAAGTCATGTTTCACTTAAAACTGACAAGATTTCAAATGTTCCCTAAAGGCTTTACATGCATGTACTTCCACGACTAAGTAACCAAGAGGCATCTACTGTCAACTAAAAGCTAGTCTAGCTACCTCATATGAAATTATTCTGGAGGGAACCTACTTATAGGACTTAACTATGAAGACACTCTAGAAAAGAACTGAAGGAAAAACCTGGCCATGAGCTGTAAAATGCATCAGAACTATATGTGCATACACGTTTGCAATAACATAAAAGCAAAAAGTTTATCTACACTACGGTTCATAGCTTCAAGCTAAGACCTGCCTAGAGATTTAGTAGGAAAATTACATTAACTGAAAGCTCTCAAGCTTCACTGGCTAAGTCTCCAACCATGCATAAAGATAACCTTTTTTCAGCATTTTCTGGCTTCCTTTGCAAACACCTAAGCCATGTAACAAATGGAAAGCTACCTTTCAACAAACTAGAGCAGGAAACAAAACAAAACAAAAAAGGTGTTTGGGACCACAGTCATTGTGCAGCCCTGAATGCTGACCTTAAAAGGAGCTGCAGTAGCCTGATCCCAAAGGAGTTTGGCTGCAGGTTGTCCTTGGTGGTACAGTTTGGGTTGAGTTGGGTTGGGTTGGTTTATTTGAGACCAGGGTCTTACTATGTAGGCTATTCTGGCCTTGAAGTCACAGAGATCTTCCTGCTTCTGCCTCCAGAGTATTGGGGTTCCAAGTGTGTGCCACCACACCCGGCTTCAATTTTTTATATTCAAGCAATGGTTACCTTTAAGATGATGTAGTAACATTTTTTAAACCAACAGTTTTCTATGAATACAACTCAAGAAAAAAAGTTCATACTGGTTTTTTTTTCATTTTTAAAATCCGTCATCCTCCCCTATGCTGATAGAAACAAAAACTGAGTTCAGTGTACGCCAATTTGACCATGTAACCTTAGCTTATGTGACTGCAAAAATTCTGGAAATTAACCCAGGCTGAGATTTTTGTATACTAAGTATCAGCCAAGAACAAATTTTTACAGCTAACTTTTAAACTCTTAAAAATTACACTTTATAATGGAAATACTGACAGATGTTTTACCCTAAAAACACTGTTATATTTCTAACTTTTAAAAATACAAAACTATGAACTCAGCATCAAAGATATAAGAATGAAAAACAAGTCATTAAATTATAAAATTACCTTTTTTAATAAGCATAAATAAAAACATCCAATGTCACAGCCAGTTAGATGATTCAGTGGGTAAATGGTCTTCCCACCAAGCCTGATGACCTGGGACCCACATAATAGAAAGAGAACCAACTCTCACAAGCTTTCCTCTGACCTCCACATGTGGGCTGTGGCACATATGCACACATACAAATAAACAAATGTAATTTTAATACATACACACACTTTATGGAACAAATATGCTTGTATGCCCTAACAGTTACATTTAATTTTCCAGATGTTCTTAACCACTAAGTCAGTATTTCAGTGAATGGAGGACTTACCCCACACATGCATTGTCATCAGTGTCTGACTTAACCATTAGCCCATGTGTAGACAGATCCCAGCTTTTGCTTCAACACTCTGAAGAAGGGGTACGACTCAAAGAGGATAACAACCTGAGCCTTGGAAAACTTGCAACATAGGAAACCAATCTAGAAGAAGGTACTAAAACAAATAAACCTATGACAAGGATATCCCACTGGAGAACATAAAGTCAGGCAGAGTGGACAATTGCGGCTAAAGAAAATGTGGTACATTTACACAATGGAGTACTACACAGCAGAAAAAAATAAAGACACTGTGAATTTTGCAGGCAAATGGGTGGAGCTAGAAAACATCATTTTGAGTGACATAACCCAGACCCAGAAAGGCAATTATCACATGCACTCACTCATAAGTGCTTTTTTAAACAAAAAGCAAAGAAAACCAGCCTATAAATCACAATCCCAGAGAACCTAGACAACAATGAGGACCCTAAGAGAGACTTACATAGATCTAATCTACATGGGAAGCAGAAAAAGACAAAATCTCCTGAGTAATTTGAGAGCATGGGGACCTTGGGAGAGGGTTGAAGGCGAGGGGAGAGGCAGGGTGGGGAGCAGAGAAAAATCTAGAGCTCAATAAAAATCAATAAAATTTTTAAAAAAATAAAATCACCACGGGGGGGAGCAAGGCTAGATTGTGAGTTTGCTGATGGAAAGGAATATCAAAACTTTGTAGTCAAATCTGCTGTGCTCATCTTGATAAGTTCAATTAAAACACAATTATAAGAGCTGGAGAGATAGCTCAGTGCTGGCTGCTCTTGCAGAGAACCTGGGTTCAATTCCTAGCACCTACATGGCAGCTCACAACTGTCTATAATTCAAGTTTCAGAGAATCTGATACCCTCACACATGCAGGCAAAATACCAATGTATATAAAATAAAAATAAATCATTAAAACATAATTATATTTGTGTACTAATTAAAAGTAGTACAGAGTAATACCATTAAATTTTCCTCCTGTTTTAAATACCTTTAGTCAGTATAACTCAGTTTATTTGCATATAGAAAAGTATACAAACCTAGTGTCTGATGTGATAGACTCTTACAAAGTAAACACATCAATATAACCATATACAAGATGAAGAAACAGGACCACCAAAATTCTAGCTTTCTACATTGCACAAAACTACCTTTTTTTTCATTTTGGTTTTTCAAAACAGGGTTTCTCTGTAGTTTGGAGCTGTCCTAGAACTAGCTCTTACAGACCAGGCTGGCCTCAAACTCACAGATAACCGCCTGCTTCTGCCTCCCAAGTGCTAGGATTAAAGTGTGCGCCACCACCACCCAGCTCACATCTCCTTACTTTTAAGCTCATTCAACAACTAACACAAAACGTGGAACTGCTGAGGTTTGAGTTTTTATTTTATGTACACATGCATGCAGTGCCCACAGAGGCCAGAAGAGGGTGTCAGATCCCCAGGAACTGGAGTTACACACAGTAGTTAACCACCATGTGGATGCCAGGAACTGAGTGTGGGACCTGCTGAGCAATCTTTTCAGACCATGCTAAGAGATTTGACTTGCCTGAAAGTGCTATGTCTATAAAACTACAGGCCTAAGAAGAAAACCATGAAGAACACCCCATCTAGCACATAGCCTTCCTATCACCTGTGCTTTTCTCCCTTTTCTCCCTGTAAAAGCCCTTTGTGCCCTGGGCATCCAAGGATGAAGCTGTGAGGACAACAGTCCCTCATCTCATATGACCAGCCCCTGAAGAATTTCCTGCCCACCAAATGGCAAGCAGCCAGAAGTTGGACAAGAACAAAGGAAAGTAAGACAAAAATGAAATTACTCTTTATCAATTACAATCTCTAAAAATCAGTTTAGGACTCGGCACACACTGCCATAAATTTATCTGATAATAAAGTGTTTAAACTGTTTTCTGGGGGAAAAAAATTAAATAATCCACTCAAGAACAGCTTGAAATCAACTTTTCTAGAACGGATGTAAAAAAATTAACTTATGTAATCAACAGCATTTTGACATGACATGCTTGAAATCCCCCAAGCAAAACATAACTCCTCCAATCAAAAAGGATGGGGACTTATGAGGAAGCCTGTGGCAACGATCAATACTTGCACAAGTGCGCACGCGCGCGTGCACACATACACCCCTAATACTATATCTTTTCATCATCAAATCAACAAAGACTTTTCCCTGTCCTTTTCTAAAATTCCTCTGCTATCAACTAATTCATAGACATATTTGAGTTCACAATTCCTGATTTCCACTACTAAACTACTTTTCTTTTCCAAAAATCTAGTGATATAATGTATGGGCTTCTGTGTGCACTGGGCTAAAAATTCTTGTTCAATATTTCCTCCAATGGTATCTAATAAAAGTAAGATGGATCTTAGGGGACAAAGTCTTTGAAAATAAACCCCCATGTCTACTCATACTTAACAAAGGATATAACTTTCTGTTACGCTCCATACCACTCCATCATCTGGCTGCTTTTGTATCTTTTACAAGATGCTTTATAATAAACTCTAGGTTTGATCCTTTGCACTATGTAAAACCTGGCATGAAAGTACATACCTGTAATCCCAGCACTCCAGGCAGAGACAAGGTTACCCTTGGCTATACAGCAAGTTTGGGGAAGGAAAGAAAAAAGGGATGAAAGAAAGGAAAGGAAGGAAATGAAGGGAAGGAAGTAAAGAAAGGGAAGGGACGGGAGGAAGAAAGGAAGGAAGGAGGCGAAGAAGAGGGGAGAAGGAAGGAAAGGAGGAAAGAAAACAGAATAATTTATATTTTATATACAAAGGGGAAAACTATATCTGGTTCCCATATACAAACACATAGAAAAAAACCTGACTGAACTTCTGCTGCCCCATCAATGACACTTAGTTCTTTAAAAAAAAAAAAAATCTGCTTCAAAAGATCACAAATTTAGTGACTTTACCATATGCTCTTTCTTTCTCGTCACAAAATGTTACATCAAATAAAATGAACCAGATGCTTTTCTAATACTGTAAAATACTGGACTTATTCAACAAATATTTACTCCATACTGTATGCCAGGTATCAGGAAGCCACAAGCTACAAGAAAAGTAAAATGAACACATGAAACACACTTTAGAAGCATCCATGACTTCCCAAGGACTATGTTAGGTAATTCTAAGTCATTAATTTTCACCAACACACACACACACACACACACACACACACACACACACACACCATTTATAATTAACGCTTCCTCACACACTCCAAAGCTCAGAGCCAGGAAGTGAAGGACCTAGAATGCAATCCCAGCCTGAACTGACAAGATATATGACTAGAAAGACAGACACCCAGTTCCTACCATGACCAGTTTACACTTAAAGGAACAAATGCTTCTATATCTTTATACACACAGTTCTGAAAGCTTTTCTTCTCTCCTAAAGGTTCTTTTGGCAAACTCTCAACCTGAATCTCAAATGTCATCCATCATAAGAAACTCAAACAAGCTCTACTAGGCAGAGCTTCCTATCACCTCCATCAGGCTCCAGCATCTCTGTCACCTCAATGTTCAACTCTTGTTGAGCAGCATGTCCAAAAGCACTGTGGATCTGAAAACTGACCGAGGGTATCTGAAGATGGCAGTTACAATCCCAGGGCCTAAGTCAGTGCCTAATACAGCCAATATTCAGCCAATCAAATTGAATAAACAAATGAATTGTGGACATCATTTAAATAAAAAAAGCTAGTTCAAACTACAATGTGTAAATAAAAACACATAGAAACCTATACAGGAAAAAATATATTTAATAAAAAAAAGCAAGATTCAAGGCAGAAGCTTGACGTGTAAGAAAGGGAAATCAATAACACATGTTAAAACTAAGAAAAAGAAATTCATTAAAGAGGAACTTCATGTCAGAGAAGTACCAGAAGTCTCATAACTAAAGCTTTGTGGATCAGGAGAAGACAAAGTATCTGGGTTCAAAGGACATGGTGGAAGAATTGGAAAAGTCTAATGTGAAGACAAGATTAAATAATAAGGTACCAATGGGAATTTCAAGATACATGCTACATTCTAAAAGGACCAAATCTGTAAGTTACAGGCACAGAAGGATCCTGTTCTAAAGTCATAGAAAACATTTTCAAAAGAATTATAACAAAAAAAAAGTCCCAGAGTTAGAAAAACGGATGTCAGTTCAGCTATAGGAGGGGTTTAGGACATCAAATAGGCAGACCAAAACAGAAGCTCCCCTGTCATATATAAAACATAAAATATACAGAACATAGAAAATACATTGAAAGCAGCATGAGAGAAATATCAAGTCACAAAGGCAGGGTGATAACAACAGCCGATTATTCTGTTTTAAAAGCAAAGAGGGCCTGGAATGATGTACTTTAAGTTCTGAAAGATAACAACTGTAAACCCAGACTACTCTATCCAGCAAAGCTATCTGTCATAACTGAAGGAAAAATGAAAACTTTACAAGATAAAAATAGACTAAAGGGATTTATGAGCACTAAGACAATTATGTAGAAGATATTTAAAGGGATCCTTCAGGCTAAAGAGAAAAAAAAAATCAATCATAAAGCCCAAAAAAGAAAAAAAAAACACTAGAGTAATGGTTAAACAAGAGAAAAAGAAGGAAAAACAAATAGTACAAGATGGCAAGAATCAAATACAACTTCCAATAATAATTTTGACTATGAATGGTCTCAATTTCCCCGGTCCAAAAGTAAAGACTGCATCAAAAAAGCAAGAACCTGAACAAGAGAGACAGAAAGATTAAGAAGACCAGGAGGTCTACTGTGAGATAGTATCATTTATATATAGCAGATGATACCCATGAAATCTTAAAAAAAATACAGATGCATAAGTAAGACCTACACAGTGACAATATCATTTGACTTGCCAAGCCATATGGGGAAAATCTCACAGGTACCACCCTAGATGAAGAGCTACAGGCAGTTAGTGGCTACTGAGAAAGGGAGAATCAGCTCTCCTCTTGATGCAAGGCCTGTCTCTGCATGTGACTTTGGTATTTCTCTCATGCTGCTTTCTACTAGTAATCCTGGGAGGCTATCTAATCCCAAGCAGTCACATGAGAAACACTCAACAGGCTCAGCAGGGTGTGTGTGTACACGCACACATGTTCACACATATATATGTAATAAAAGAAGTCAGAAATTTAAGAGGGAGTAGAGGAAATAAGGAGGACACCAGAAGTGGTGGAAGAAAAAGGGGGGGGTGATAAAATTATGTAAATATAGTACTCATGTATAAAATCCTAAAAAAAATGATAACTTTAAAAAGTTTTGAAGGGAGGAACCAAGCCAGGTGGTAGTGGTGCACACCTTTAATCACAGCACTGGGGAGGTAGAGGCAGGCTGGCTCTGATCTATAGAGTGAGTTCCAGGACAGAGGAAACTCTATCTCAAATAAGTAAATAAATAAATAAGAACTACTTGTGACTTCTAAGAAATGCAGTGCAGGTCCACCTTAGGGTAAAAGAATGGAAAGGGTACCCATGTAAATGAACTTAGGAAACAAACAGGTGTCACAGACCTAACATCTGACAAAAAAGGCTTCAAACCAAACTAGTGAGAAAAGATAAGAGTCACTTCATAGTGAATGAGAGAGCACTCCAATTCTAAATTTTTATGTCAAACACAGGTCTACCCATGAAAATGCTATTAGAAGAAAAGTCACAGATTAGCCCCAGCATAACAGTAGTGGATGACTACTAATTGACAGGCCATCCTGACAAAAACAAACAAGCAAAAAACCAGAGAAATGTTTGAATTAAGCAACATCATAGATCAAACAAACTTAGAAAGTCCATCCAAACACTGCATAATTCCCAGTTTTCTCAGCAGCCCAGGGACTTTCTCTAAAATAGATCATATACTAGGGCTTGATGAAGTCTTTTTTTATGTATATGGGGGCTTTGCCTACATGTATGTCTGTGCACCATGTATGTGCCTATTACCCATGGAGAGAACTAAATAGAAGAACTACAGATTGGAAAAGAAGTCAAAGTATATTTGTAGATGATATAATCCCATACATAAAAGACCCTGAAGAATCCATTAAAAATTCCTAGAACTAATGAATATTTTCATCAAAGAATCGGGATGTATAAGTGGCCTACAAAAATTAGTAGCCTTCTACAGAAAAGGTTACTGAGAAAGAGTGAGGGCATCAAACCCATTCACAACAGCCTCAAAATACACACACACACACACACACACACACACACACACACACACACACTGGAATAACCCTAACAAAAAATGTGAAAAATATTTTCATAATGAAAATTTTAAAATACTGAAGAATAAAACTGAAGAAAGCACTGGAAGATAAAAAGCCTTTCTATAATTATGAATTCATATGATTAATATTATAAAATGGCCATCCTACAAAAAGCAATCTACATATTCAATGCAATCCCAATCAAAAAACTAATATACTCCTCCAAGAATCAGAAAAAAAAATCTTAAAATTTATATGGAAAGACAGATAACCAAAGCAATTCTAAGTAAAGGAATGCTGGTGGAGATACTACTATACCTGATTTCAAGTAATACTATAAAATCATAGTAATGGAACGAAAAGCAAAATAGTGCTGGCACAAAACCAGACATAAAGATCAATGGAATTGAGGGCCCAAATACAAGACCACACTACTATAGCCATCTGATATTTGACAGCATCTTGTCAACAAGTGGTAATAGTAAAACTCAATGTCTACCGGAAGAAGAAAGAGCCTAGATCCTTCTCTCTCACCCTGCAAAAACATCAATTCCAAATGGATCAAAGTGCTCAACATAAGAACTGAAACTCTGAAACAGCTATAGAAAAATAAATAAAGCATGTACATTAAGATTTAGGAATAAGAGACCAGACTCTCTGAACATGGCGAACAATGAGGGCTGATGAGAAGCCAGGGACAATGGCACGAGGTTTTGATCCTACTTCATGTTCTGGCTTTGTGGGAGCCTAGCCAGTTTGGATGTTCACCTTCCTAGATATGGAAGGAGCGGGGAGGACCTTGGACTTTCCACAGGGCAGGGAACCCTGACTGTTCTTTGGACTGGAGAGGGAGGGGGAGAGGAGTAGGGGGAGGGAAGAAGGGTGGGAGGAGGGGGAGGGAAATGGGAGGCTGGGAGGAGGCCGAAACTTGGTTTTTTTCCTTTTCTCAATAAAAAAAAAAAAAAGATTTAGGAATAAGTAAAGACTTTCTGAATAGGCTCCCTGTTCAGGAAGTAGAGCCAATAATCAACAAACAGGATCTCATGAACTAAAAAGTTTCTGTACAGCAACGAAAGCAGTCAATAAAATGAAGAGGCAGCCTGCATAATAGGATAAAAACTTTGCCAGCTATACATCTGACAAAGGATTAGTATCTAGACTATATGAAGAACTAAAAACAAAAACTGAACAGCAAGGAAACAAGCCAATGCAAAAATGAATTCCAATTATAAATAATATTTTTGACAGTATAGGTAGCTGAACTTAAAAATGAAGTCTCTTTTCTAAACTTTAAATATAGTAATTTAAACATTTCATACTGCCTTCTAATTTTTTACCTTTTCAGATAAAGAAAAATAAGTTACCTCCCCTTTTCAGCCCCTCCAAA